ATCTGCCTTAGCTGTGTCAGGAACTGGGACTCACTTTAACATATGGAAAAAAACTCCATCCTTGGCTGCAGGAGTGTAAATCCACCACGGCAGCCCATTATTGTCGCCTTACACAGACCTAGCTGGGGCTGGGGTTTGTCCTGTATTAATATTAATATCTGTTCTCCCTCATTACTTCAGCTTTTGCTGCAGTGTCACCTCTGCGTTACAGCAGCCGGCAAACCACCTCCTTGTGCTGGAGGCTGTTCTTGATCCCATTTCCAAACAGAAGCACTTCTGCCTCGGCTCTGGCTGGGGTGGCTGTGCAGAGGCCGGCTTTTTTTTTTTTTTTTTTTTTTTTTTCCTCCCCTTTTGCCTGCTAATTGGCTGAGACCACCAGAATTTGGAGGACACAGATGTCACTGATAGTTTGCCTAGGGAGCACATTCATGCCCATCTGTTGCAGTCTAGAAGGCTGTTCATATATCCACAAGGCCTTCATTTAATTCTTGTCAGAAAGTAATGTAAATCCAGTTTACCTCAGAGGTCACAGCCAAGATTTATGCCAATGAGCCCCCTGCAATTTACACACACTGTAGTTGTATAGGATGAAAAGAAACCCTTTCATGTTGGTGCATATTAACAAGAAAGCTTGCCTTAGGAGAGGCTTTTTGATTGAGGTTCTTCCTTATTTTAATACAGCCAGTTGGGATATTCAGCTTTACCAAAAGAAAACATCTAATCTTTAAGCCAGAGAAGTAAACTAACTAACTAACTGACTAAAGCCCCTAGAAAATCCATTTATTTGTTTGTTTGTTTTTTTTAAACCATCTTTTCGCAAGGAAAGGTAAACGCTCTAGGAAAACACAAACATGCGTGCACTGAAATAGTCAGGAAACTGAATTTGCCTTCTGTGGAAGATGATATTACATCAGTTATTGAAACCTTTGCTAACTCAGTGTAAGCATGTTTTCTTTTTCTTTTTTTCTTTTCCCCGTTTTATTTTTCAGTCCCTCAAGCTGCCAAATCTGAAATTAAAGCTGAGCCTCTTATTTTTGACAGGGGTGACGGGGAGGACTCCAGAAGGCTTGTGCACAAATCCACAGGAGGGAGAGCAGCTGTGTGGAGGGTGCTGTGTGACGTGCATGGTCCCTGTTACCTGCTGCAGGTAAAAATACCACCATCAATATTCAGCAATATTTTTTTCGGTCTTCCTACAGAAATCAGGGGAAGATAAAATACCATAATCTGGAGGGAAGATGAGACTATAAATGGACCAACCCCAATAAATCCAGCACTGCCTCTGTGTCGTGGTTTCACCCCTGTCTTTATTCAGCAAGAGACTCTAACAGCTTAAAGAGCTTCCCTAAAAATGAGTGTGGCTTCATTAACCTTAGGGAAGCCCCATGTGGAAGGGCCACAGTACACCAAATTAGGCTGGAGGGAAAAAAACCCGCAGTGCAAGTGATGCAGACACTTGAATTGAAAATGAGCTGTTAGAAAAGAAACACCCTTAAGTGCCTCGGTTATTAAAACTGCTTGTAGGAGCAGGCAGAGAAAAGTGGGATGCAACGATGGATCAGGGTGTGCCAAGGTGATTACAAAGGGGTTTCAGAGCTGGGCACCTCTTTAGGCTCAGTGTAGTTTGAGGGTGTTCCTTTCATTTATACTGGCTCCTCCTTCCTTTTCCCCCCCTTCCTTTTCCCTGGTTTGGCTTGCCTGTGTGTGGATTTTACCTTAGCGAACACTTCCAAACGTTCCAGGCGTGAAAATCGCTATGATCTGCACGGTGTCATAATGACCGGAGTGCTTTGGGATTAGGAGGCAGGAGAGCAAGGCACCCAAATGAAAACAGGGCTCGGAGTCCAAGTTCCAGCGTAGCACTTCAAATAATTAAAATGTTTATTTGAAAGTCAAAACAGCCTCAGTCATAAATAACTATCCCTTCCTCGATTGATTGCGTGGAGTCCCAACCGAGAGCTCTGGGAATAAGGTTTATTTGCTCCCTGTTGGGATTAATCCATAAATGTAGTCTCCACATGGAACTCATCAGGTCTTTGCTTCCTCTTCATTAGTCTTCCTGGAACTGGAGGGTAGCCTGAATAAGATGAAAATTAGGATAATATATTTTCTGGGAGAAAAGGTCTGGCGATCTCTAATTTGAGTTTCAGGGCCATAATGCTGTGGAAAATTTCCCAAATGATGTTGTCTGAGAAACCAAGGCTTGTTATCCTTGCTGCATTTGAAGTTTGAATGCAGCAATTACATCTTCTTTTCCTTAAAGCCTCCCAAGCTAATTGCAGTCTTAAACTGCTAGATTGACTCCCAGGTTTCCTTCCATCCACAGCAGAACTTAAAATTCCTTTCTCTTGACAGATCTTTCAGTCTTCTAGCCCAAGGGCTCTGAAATGTCACAGTATGGCCCATTTCTTATTAAAGAGATCATTTCACTGTAGCCCACCCAATACTTCCCTCCATCCCTCTTGTTCTGAACCCCAGCTCCAATTAGAGGGCAGGCCACACAAATGTATTTTCTCATCCCCTGAGACCTTTGTAATATTTTTTTTTTCATCACATTTGATGCGAGGAGTTATTTTAATCCAGGCTCCAAACAGATTTTTTTTTTTCCCAATAATTTTTGTTTTAAAGTGTCTAACAATTCTGTCCAGCATTTAAAAACTGCCTGTGCCCAAAGTTGGGTAAAAAAAGCTTTCCTGTCACCAAAAAATGCTTAAATCTGGTGCAAAATTGTTTTTATTAGGTGTTTTCAAAGAGCATTTTGAAGTGCATCCTTAGAAAGCATTTTTGTCCAGGCAGTTTTCTTGCAGCACGTCGGTCAAGCTGCAATTTTTATCACTTCAAAACTGTACTCCCCTCAAAGGACCACTTGTTAGGATTTAAGGGAACCTTAAGGAAAGCTGATTAGTAACCATTGAGAGGGTTCTAAAGGCCTCCAGAACTTTTTGCTGTTCTGCTGTTCAGCTTTAGTCTTGGGTCCTGCATTTCCACAGGTCCATAAGCTGCGTGCTTGGTTATTCCCCTCTCCCAGCTGTCACTCAACGCCACAGCTGTCACAAAGCACAACTTTACCAAGTGGCATCTGTGTAAAGGATGCTGCTGCAGTTTAAAGCTCTCTGGTGCATTTTAAGCTGATTTTATGATGCGAGTCATTGTCCCCAGTGATGGGTCTCTAAAGACTCTCCACCTTCTGAGCACTAAGGTACAGTTTATTGGGCTTTTCTCCGTGGTTCCAGCACTTCGGAGTCACTGCCGCTGTAAATCAGTATTTATTACTCCGAGTGTCCTTGCTGTTTATTCGATTCTTTGAGGGGAAAAAAAGTGTACTTGAAGAAGAATTCCTCGCTTGCTGCCACTCATATATCACTGTTACGGAGCTGGCAGTCTCCCGGTGAGTTAAACCCTCCCAAGCCAAGGAAGCCAAGCTCTGTACTTCCACACTAATTTGAGCTTCCCTGCTAAGCCCCCACAGTTCTTTGTGAGACTGGCAGCCTGTGTGGCTCACAAAGCCACGGGGCCCTCCCGCTTACAGCAAAGACCCAACATGATCTTCCAAGCTGTGGAAGCACAGGCTGGGCTTAAAAGTCTAAATTGAGGCTCTGAGCTCCACTGGATGCTCTTAATACCACGTTATTCTTTGTAAAGGGAGACATCCCATTGCCTGTTTGCTTTGGTGCATCTTCCTAGCAAATTGTGCTTGAGAACATGTATTTACCGGGGCTGTGAGGTGGCTGCAGGACACAGGCCTTCTCCAACACGCCCCTGCATGCTCCTGAAGCAGTTCCCAGTTCCCAGGACTGGTGTCCACAGTGGATCTGAGGCAGGTGTATGTCTGCTCGGTACTCGCTCCAGTGGACTCCCTAGAAAACGAGGTTTTTGAGAAATCAATTACACAAAGGAGTGGAGTCAGGGCCAGATGGCTGGGATGCTTCGTCCCAACCTGGGAGGCACTCCTGGGACAGGCACACACTCCTTCCCACAGGGCTGGATAATCAGAGAAATCAATTAGCAGATGTCAGTGCAGTTAGCGGAGCAAACAGCGCTGGCATAGGTGTGTTACTGTGACTACAGCAGAGGAGGCTGCCTGTCTTTTTTCCCTGATGGACAACCAGCTTTTCTAGACCTGGCAGGGCAGGAGGAGAGGAATCTGCTTTCTGGCTGTTGTCACCGGGTTGAGATGTCTATCCCTGACAACCTTTCAGGGTTTTCCTTCTGTTTTTATCCGTGGCTCTGCCTCTCGCCGATCCTTTTTACTTGCTCCCCAGCTGCTCTCACAGGTCTGCGCTCCTGCCCTCGGCCTCCTTTTTTTACGGCTACTTTTTAAATTTCTTCTTTCTCTGCCATTTGTCTGCAGAGTCCCACTGACTGGCTCCTGCCTCCAGGCTCTTTGCTGATGAATCCCATCGTTTGCCCTGCTCCACCTGCCCTTCCACGGCAGGCTCTCTGATCCTCTCTGCTTTCGCATGAGTGCATCTCTTTTGCCCTCTGCTTTTCAGTCTGGCAGCTCTTGCTCGGTGCCGTTGAGAACACAGGATATCAGCCACCAGCTCCAGGGGATCCAGCGATCCCAGAGCTGCAGCAGAAAGGGAAAAAAAAGCTCCCTGGAAATGTAGCTGCTAGAATGTGAGTCTTTTCTAGTCAGCAGAGCAAACTGCGCCTGTGTGTGTGTTCCTTTGCACTCCCCTTCCTCCTCTACTTGCCCAGTTTTAGACATGTCCTCACAGTGGCTGTTTCTGACTATATTGCTTCAAACTGTCAGAACAGACTCCCTTAAATCTTCCCCGGTGCCCCCCTATTGAAGTAAATGGAAACCTTGCCAATGACTTCGGGTGGGGACTTGGGGTGTCTCCCCAAGGCCAAGACAATTTACAGTTGGGTGTGTAGAGCGGTTGGTTAAGACATCCTAATGTGAATCCTTTTGGATTAAAGGGAACAGTGTGGCTTTTCCATACCCCCAAGAGATGCTTCATCCACTGGAATTCCCTGTGGAAAGGGAGTGTTCAAGGGCTGTGTTTTATATTTAAGTGTGTATTCTGCATGTTTGAGCAGCATCCATTTGCTTGGACCTAGAGGAGGATGGGCAGGTGGGCATCTATTTTGATGCTCCATCAGGCTACTCCATAAAAATGGAATCAGTTCTAGGTATGGCACAGAAATTATAAATTTAGTCCCACAAGGAAGAAAACTTAGGGACTGCTAAAAGCATTGACCTGCAAAGGATTGATGGTGGCTGGAGATTTACTTGCTGGGCTATTGGTGCCTTATTCCACTTAAGTTTCCTTTCAGCATTTCAGTCTTTTTGTAGATATGAGTCGAAGATATAAAAATGATTGCATGAATGACAGAATGTTGAGTTCTGAAAGTCCATCCGTGGAGAACATTCCTTACATGGGATGGAGTTCCAGGGTAACGAGGGGGTTCCAGTGGCCTGGAAAACGCATGCAGCATCTTCCCAGCTAACTGTGTGTGACAGCCCAAGCCTTGCAGGTGCAAAGGGCTCTGGCACAGCCCGGGTAGTTACTTCCCTGCTTGGAATTTCCCTGCTCCAGCCCCGCCCCGTCTCCCTGGCACCTTGGAGATGCTGGCCTTGCACACTTTGTCACCGGGACCCTGCAGTAATTTCACGCACTCCCCTAATAAAGTCCTCCGAGGCTGTCATGTATTTTCATGTATTTCCCCCATTATTTCTCCCTGCTTGAGCCTTTGGGATAATTGATGATACTTTAGTTAATCATTTTCCCCCTCCTTTGTTTGCCAGGTAGCTCAGCCTTGAAGGGATCCTTTTCATTTAGGATCCGTGTCTTCTCTTAAGTAATTGATCGCCGCGCACCCGGGGACACCCAATTCACAGCCGAGCGGCGTCAGCCTTCATGAATAATCAACACGCCGTGGCCGCGCTGCTGCAGGAGTGCGAGCGAGCTCTGGGCGCGCTCCTGTCGGCCGAGGCTGGCACGGGCGAGGAGGAGGAGCGGGAATACCGGCGGTGCCAAGGTGAGCTCTCCCCAGGAGAGGCGGCAGGACCCCGCCGCCCCTCGGCCCTGCCCTATTTTTCTCCTCCCGGCAGATGAGTGTCAAGAGATGCCTGGATTTCGAGGCCATGAATGGGGCGCGGGCCACAGGCAGGCAGGGAAAGAAGTCCACTTTGTTGCAGTGAATTGCTGTCAGTTCTAATTTTAGGCTTCACTAAACATGAGGCTGTAAGGAACAGTTTAGTTTGGGAAGAACAATGCCCAAAAGTTTGCTGATGCACATAAATTTCAGTTATTAAAAAAAAAAAAAAAAAAAAAAAAAAAAAAAAAAAAAAAAAAAAAAAAAAAAAAAAAAAAAAAAAAAAAAAAAAGGGAAAAAAAAAAAAGGATGCAACTTCTGAATAAGGGCACATATTTCCTCTCTTTTCATAGGAACTGGGTGAGGGCCCTCTCTGTTTGTCAGCTTCTCCTCATATATTAAAGAGCTCATTGCCTGAATCTTTATCTTGTAAAATGTGTGTGACCTCTATAAGTGGTGTCCAAGGGGAACAACAACAAAAAAAATAGTACTTACAATATCCCTCTTGAAAAGAAAATCCATGCAGGCTAAAGGCTGGCATAAATAACCAGGAAAGGAAGCGGTGTTCAGCGAGAGCTGTAATAAAAGGGTTACCTGCTGGAAACCAGCATTTATTTTTGGTATTGCTGTGGTGCTTTGGGAAAAAAAAAAAAAAAAGAAAAAAAAAGAGAAAAAATAAAGAAAAATAAGGAATTTATTATTTTCTTAATTCCAGTGGAATTAAGGTTTGGCTTTGCGTGACACATCTGCGGCGCTGCCCGTTTTCCAGTTTAGTGTTAATAATGTTTAGTTTTGCTTTGCTTGAGTGCCTCGGCCGTAACGTTAATTTGATCTTTAAAACCCTTTGTTTGTCCCGGGGCGCAGAGCCGTTGAGAATATGTTTTTCCGACCATCCTTGTTCTTGCTGGGAGGTCAGCTGCCTTTTTCTGAAGCACCTAAGTCTGTTTGTGCTGGAGGGTGGCGTGTAGGTTTCTGTTATGGATACTGGAAGGTTTTTCTCTCCTCTTTTTTGTTTTCCACAAAGGGTACTTTGTTTCCTGCTCGCAAATTCTTTTAAGTTTTATTATGGCTGGGCAGAATAGGCTCTTGAACTCCTAATCAGGTAGCGCTTTTTTCCCCCCCCCTCATCCTCCTCCCTCCTTTTCTCCTATTAAGTGCCACAAAGTATGAGAAATAATCAGTTTAGTTCCAGATAAGGTAAATCAGTGCCCTTATAATCACTCGATTAGACACGGTCCTTCAGGTAAACTGCTTCAGGAAATGGGCGATCAGAGCCTGTAGTGAGGCTCGGGCTTTTCCAGGGACCGTGTTCCCATCAGCTGAAAGAAAAATACCCAGCAGCGGGGTGGTGACAGCGACATTAATAACTGCTGGGGCACTCTGCCCGGGGAAGGCAGGGCCTCGCAGGTCGGCGGCTCTCGGCTTCGGGGGGACCCTCCCAGCGCAGGGGGTTTCTTCGCCCCCCCTTTTCCTCCCGGGGCTGCCTTTGTTCCCCCCCTCGGCTTTCTCAGGCCGGGTGCAGGAGGGACCGAAAGCCGAACGGCGGGGAGAGGGGAGAGGAGGAGCACATCCTTATCTCCCTTCACTTGAGGGGGCAGAATGGGTGTTAGGTGAGCCTGGACTGCTTTTTTACTTCTTTTTAGGCTAGAAATCATTCCAGTCAGCTTCTGTGCCGGTTCAACCCTCCTTAATTAACGAGTTTATATTGCCAACGGTGAGAACAGCTCTCCGTTACAAGGGTAGACTCTCGCCCTGGGAGCTGAATTTTAGCTGAGAGCTGTTCACAGGAGCTCCCCGATTGGCTGATGTGGTTCTGGTGGATGTTCTTGTGGTACAACATCATTTTATTGTCACTGACTGGCTAATTGTGTGTTATTTCCACGTGGTGACACTTATGCATCACAGCGAGGCTCGAAGCAGTATCCTGCTAGACCTACACAAAAGTCCAACCCCAAAGATGACTGAAGGCTCCAAGTTCGCCAAATCCTCCTGAAAATGTCACCCTGATTTCCTTTCCTAACCAGCTCAGCAGTAATGACTGCTCAGGATGTCTCTTTAAATACCCAGGTTAAAGAATTTGGCTTTAATCTTTGTTCTTTAGTGCATCAGGCAGGAGGGGGGATCAAGCACTGAAACAGGAACAAGAGGGCAGCAGTAACGCCTTTAAAGAGGATACCAACATCCTTGTTATCCCACTGATTGTTTTGATGGTTGCTGACACTATTCTTTCCCATTTCATTGTTATTTAAGTAAGCAAAAGTTTGTGTGGGAAAGACAGAAGAAGAAGTTAGAGAAGCAGACAGAAAGGCTGTCTGTGTAAGCCTCCTGGTTCTCCTTGGATAGATTCCTCCCCAAATGTCAGTGCTGTGGGATCATATGGGAAAACACATGCTTGCTAGGACTGCCTTCAGTCCTCGCACCATCTTCCTTTGGAAAAGATTTTGGGAAGCTCAGTCTTCCCCTTTCTACGTGGGGGATTAAACCCCTCCGTCCGCCATTTTGTGTTCCTTGTGATGAGCTGGGTGTCCCTGCTCCTGCACGGATTTCCCAGGGAGAGCTGTGAGGGTGGGAGAACGACCTCCTCTCCCCACCGGCTCTGCCCAGGCACCACTTCAGGAGGATAAGGAAACACGTCTTCCTGTTAAGCCAGGATGGGTAATGGGAAGGTTTGCAATCCCCGTGTTTCCTTGGGGCAGCAACAAGTGAGAAAACGTGAGATGGAAAAAGCGATACCTTTTTAAACATGGCTTTCTGGAGAAGGGCCCTAAACACCCAGCTTTCTGCTTTTTCCTAAGAAAACCATATTGGTGAATGCACTGTAATATCAGCACGAAATAAGACTTTTTAGGTAGTGCATTTTCTACAGTCTGTCCGTAAAGGATTGATGAAAAAATATATAGTAATACATCTATTGCATTGCCTCGTTAAAGCAACGATGGTCTCTGAGCAGGGCTTTTTTGGGGGGATTAATGGCCAGAAGGGGCCAGATCTGCAGCTGATGATCACCATTAACCCCATCTGGTCAATAATCCTTGTTAATCCACTTTTATTGGCCAGAGGGGCTGCCTGGACGAGTGGTTAGCACAGCACAGCGCAGTCGGGCTGCGGCTTCACCCCTGTTGCAAGGAAAATTAAATGTGGGCTGCAGCTGAAAGGAAGGCACAAATCCAAGCCCAAATCTCTAGCTTTGGGCTCCTGGCAGTCGCATCCTTAGTTGGGTCAGGTTGGGAGATCCAACCCAAGCCAATGGAGTGGTGATTGCCCTGTATGGGGAGGGAGCAGGGAGGACCAAACATGTTTAAGAGCATGTTCTTAATGTTCATGGCATCCCTTTAGATCTCTCTCTAATTGATTTCTGTGGTCCAGGCTTGTCTCCCAGTTTGGATGTGGCTTTCCAGGCTGGCTCTGCCACTGTCACCCGAGTAAGGGGGACAGGTCTTCTGTGCTGCTGACCTCTCCTCACACAGAGGTTTCCCTCTGTCTCTCTTGGAGCAGCTCTTCCGGCCCGGGCAACCTCCAGCCGGTGTGACTTCCTGCTAAAAGCCTTTTTAATGGCTGAGGGCTCCCATTTACCTGGAGGGCAGAGCAGCCAAGGGGAACGGATGGCAGGCCAGCCTTCCCTCCCCACCAGGCTGGTGACAGGAGCTAAGAGCTGGTAGCGGCTGGGAGAAGGTCTTTTAGAAAGATCGGTGTTATAAGTGCTGCGGCAGAACCTGCTGCAATATCTTTACCTGCTCTTTGACCCTTTCAGCTCTGCTTCCTGAGGACTTGAGGACCCTTCTGGAGGAGGCAAAGGAAATGAAGTGGCCCTTTGTGCCGGAGAAGTGGCAATACAAACAAGACCTCAGCCCAGAAGACAAAACAAACCTGCAAGATATGATCAGTGCGAGGCTCCCTGACTTACTGGTATGAAGTTCAACACACCTGTTGGGTAAAACGTCCCCCTGGGGTGCTCGGGGGCTTTCACAGGGCAGTTCTGTTTCTGTTTCCACTCAGGTAATGGTTCCCTCTTCCCCTGAAGAACTGGCATTATAATAAAACTAAAATGCCAGATGTTTTTTAAAAACATCTGTGAATTCACATCTATCAAATTCACATCAGTGAATTTGACAAGACTGCTGTTCCTTGTTTAATTCCCCACTTCCAGGAGGCCATGGGGGTTTCCCACTGTAGTAGGGCTTGCAAAATTCCTCCCCTGCTTTTCTCTTTTCAATAAAATAACATGATAGAATCCCTCTGAGGACCAAAGCTGGCCAAAACCCAGGTAAGAAAGGCGAGGATTTCATGTGACTACTCCCTGTGAGTAAAGGGTACTTGGTTGTGTAAGGATCTGCAGAATCCAAAGGTGCTTGGGAATCCCATCCTATAAGGTGATGAGTTTTAAGGCTTAGAAAGTGGCAAGAAATGTGGATTGCTTTCTGCTTTCCTGATCTCCCCAGAGGCATGTCAGACATGACTCGGAGCAAATAGAGGACACCCTTTTCCATGGTAAATGGAGTATCCCTTTGGCAGGATAGGCATAAAAATGAGGTTTGTGAAGCTTTGGGGGGCTTTTTTTTTTGCTTCCTGCGGTGCATGTCTGAAGCCAGCACAGTCCCAGTGCTGCCTGTTGTTAACTCCAAGGTGGCCAGGAGATCTCACCTGCTCTGGAGATGCCGGCCCTACTGAGGCCAGCGGGTTTTCTTTGGGAACAACGATCACTCGGAGCAGCACAGGGAGACGAAGAGCTCGGCAAAGCCAACCGCAGGGCCAGGAGGTGGGAGCCCCAGCACCCCCTCGCTCCTGAATTTCCCTGGGGGACGGCAGGGAGTGGCTGTTCCTGGCTATTTCTTTTCTCTCTCCCTTTGGTGTGTGTGGCCTCAGACAGAAATTTATGGCGGAGCTTGACCTCCTTTACAATCCCGGCGCGGCTCCCTCACTTTGGGGCGTTTGTCTGCTCTCTCCCGGGATAAACACCTGCAGTAAACTCCCCGAGAGACCTGGCTAGATGGGAGATTAATGTGGCTGTAATAGTGGAGCAGTGTTTGCAGCATTATGCCCTCTCCCCAGGTAGATGGATCTTTTCTGAGATGATACCAATTATTTATTGCTGAAACATCTGTTGATAACTGCAGCTGCCCTTGTTAAACAAAGCCTATCGTGGGGTCATAGACTATAGGGACCTAAAATCCTCCTCCATGCTAGTTTTGGACTATTCACCCACACCCCCTGAAGTCCATTGGTTGCCGTTGTCTCCAGTGTTTCATCCTGCGGTGGAAAATACTTTGTAAACGTTGTGCTGCCTTTGCCCATGTGCTTTGAAGTATTATTTCATCTTCATCGGTAATTTATATTCCAGTGCCATTGTACCATGGGAAAAAGGGAAAACCTTTTTTGTTTTCCATTTAATTGTAGATAGACTGACATTTTGACCTGTATTATTAGTATTAGTCAGGAAAAGGGATTTTTTTTCCCCTTCATCCATTCCTTCCCCCCCTCCTTTTTTTTATTTTAAATAAAATTTCAAGGCAGAGCAAAGGCTGCTTCAGTTCTTTGAATAAAAAGCTGGGGGGGAAATGAGGCTGAAGAGAAGTGATTACAGTGTGATGAGGAAAGATAAAAGTTTGAGCAACTTTTTTTTCTTTTTTTTTTTTCCTGGCATGAGGGACAGAAGGATAATTTAATTCCCTGGAGGACAACAGAAAAAGGAAAAAAAAAAAATTAAGTCTTCGCCGATTTATTGTTCCGAAAAAAACCTTTAAAATTTTCCCCTCTCTGTTTATTTTAATTTGCCATGCTTAGAATAAGCTCATAAACCGTAATTCATTACATTTAAAAAGTGCTTTGAGATCCATGAATGAAAGGCACTTCATTACCATAACACACTGGTGCTGTGTGGAGGAGGCAGCGCTGGAGAGCGGGGCTCGCTCTCTCTCTCTCTCTCTCTCTCTCTCTCTCCATGAGGATGTTTCACTCTGGGAGTGGGCTGAAAAGCTCCATGAGACCCAGCACAGGGAGTAAGCGGATTAGGCTTTGGCTTCAAGGGTTTGCCTCAGTGTTGTTGCACTTTAAAAATAAGAAAATAAAGTGGGATACGCATTGCCGGCGGCTCCACGCTCCTCTGGCACATCGAGAGGGCAAAGCCTCCTGCACCTGCAGCTTCTTTAAGTGCTCTTCTTCCTCTTTGCTGTGGGATGCTCAGTACTTCTTTGCACCCCGTGGAAGGTGGGGGTTCGGGGTTGGATTTTGGGGGATTTTTCTTTTTGTTGCTGGCATTCACCACCCAAAGGCCAACCCAGTTCGACAAGCTCAGCACAGTGTTTTCCACATTTTCTGTCTAGCAAACCAAGCCCATCCTGCAGCCCCCGCGGTGGGAATCTGCACTGAGGCTTCAAGGGTGATGCCCAACATCTGCATCCGAAGCCAAAACTGCAAAGCATTGGGATGTTTGTTTTCAACAAATCAAAACCAAATCAGAATTGTCCTTGCTGGCAGAGATAAATAAGGAGGGATTAGTTTGCCTCTCTAAATACCACCATGTGCTGTGGGGTTTGGAGTGGGGCTGCAGATCCAGAAGGGAGGCTGCCAGGGGTGTCCTTCCTGCAGATCTTTGCTATCCCAAGGGATGGAATTAGCCTAACACTCGGTGAGCAGCCAATAGAGGGCAACATGCCCATATCCACATAGGCTTTGATCCCAAAATCCCTGCTGTGGGTTTAGTTGAAGGACATCTCATAGTTCTCCTGTGGGATGATTCATGGCATATTAATGTTTTAATTTATTTTTTTTTTTTTGCAATTTCTTTGGCCTGTTTGCGATCCCATTGTAATGATGTGGGCCTTTGCTTCATTTTTATTGGACTTATCAAGAATTCCTGCATCCAGGCTTAAGCATCCAGCCATGGACCAGGATCTGCTGGGATAGGTACAATGGGAACACAAGAAGTAAAAGCCTCAAGAGTGGTGCTAACTCTGGTCCCTCTGCACTCTCTGTAGGGGGCTGTGCAGTCTGGCTCCATGCTCCCTGCTGTGGATGGGGGAGAGTGGATCCCGGCCTTGCTGGCACGGAATCTCGTGGGATTTAATGGGAATATTGAAAAGAATGGAAAATAAGGCCCTGCAGCCCTTGGCTGGGCCTTGGTTAATTAGGTGCTGATGGATTGCCATTAGGGAAACCATTCCAAGGGACGTGCCCTAACTGCCACAGGGATGTGTGTGTGGCACTTAAGGACTGGGAGCCTTTGAAAAAGAGCTAAGGAGGGGGCTGAGGATTTAGTTTTCTCCTCCTTCTAACTGTGGGTGTGGTAACAGGAGAACTAAAGCCTTAAATCCTAGCCCTGGGATCTTGGTTGTTCAGGCTGACCTTTTGCTACCTGCTCCTAAGAGCCCTTCTTGGGGGATCCCAGTGAGACGGAGAGTGATGGAGGGGATGGATTCTAACCGGGAGGGAACCCGTGGCACCCCAACCTCCCTGAGGCTTTGTAAAGTGAGAAATATCAGAGATCAAGTGCAGGGAGATCTTCAGCTGTCCAGGGTGACAGCCCTAGCGCTGCAGAGCACTCCATCTATGGAGGAAAACTGCAGCAGAATTTATGTGGAGCACCAAATAAAAAAAGGAAAAAAAAAGATTGGGAAGCCTGATCCTGGGTTCATGTCAATATGCCATTTCACTTGGCTCCTGGGTAGGATTTTCCTCTTCTCAGATGCAGCTTCATGGAGCATTTCCTCCCTGGAAGAGACTTTAAATGCTGTATTCCTAAGATCAGTATACTGTGTCTTCAAATGAAACTGCTTCTCAGGTGGATTGATGCTTTGAGGGCACAGATGCAGGGGAGAGACTCTTGGATTTTTAGCTGTTGGTTATGATGTTCTGTCACTGGCATTTTGCTATTTTTAAGTATTAAAATATCTCCTTCTACACAGTATTTTAATATGCCACAATAGTGTATAAATGGTCTAGAACCAGGGCCACAAAATGATTGTGGCACCCCTTTATCCTTGGGGCTAAGCAAGAGCAAGAACCCCCGCAGATGACTGTGGTCCCCCAAGCCCCTGCTGACACATGTGGCCCCCAGGAACCCCCCTTTGAGGAGCTTCCTTGGCACTTTAAAGGATTCTGCTTCTGTCCTTGCCCCAAAATGCTGCTGCTCTTTTTTCCTGAGGAAAGCAGGGATTATTCCCACTCTAGGACTGGCTCAGTTGGTGAAGCAAGATGTGGTTGGCTGCATAAAACTGCCCCGTCCTGTGGTGTTCTGAGCTGTTCATAATGGACCTAATGCTGCTGCCTTTGAATAAACACCCAACTCTCCACTGCCTTCGGGATGAATAACTTGAGCTAATTAACAACTTCAGAAGCCACTAAATGAGGTTCTCACTGCTGGGAGCGAGAGGAAAGTGTCCAGGAGCTGCTGATTCCTCAGCATGCAGCGATTCCCTGTCCCGTGTCTCAGCGTATCCCTCTGCTCCTCGCAGCCACGCTTTCCTCTGCCCATCCCCGAGGTGGTGGGAGGCTTAAATTCCCTGTTCCTTGTGGAGTGGGCTCTGACTGCCAGCTGAAAGGCAGGGATTGATAGAGAAGTCCCGGGCGGTGACAGCAGCTTTGGTCTCTTGGAAAGACGGGCTTTGCTAACGGCGCGTGGGGTAAGAGGGTGAAAGGCTTCAGCCGGATCCAGCAGTGTTTTGGCTCTGTCTTTAATCTGACAGGGGGAAAGAAAACCGGGCAATTTGTTAGGGTTCAGTGGAGTGCTAACTAGGAGCAGTGCTTGGGAGAGAAATAAGGCACCTGGAAGTACGTGGAGTGCCTCTGGAGCTCCTGCCTTGTGCACAGAATTAGAAATTCTTCGCCGAATGCTCTTGGGTTTGTGGCTTTTTTTTAAAAAAAAGATTTTTAAACCTCAGCTGCAGTTTACAAATGAGGCCAGGACTCAAACAGCCTGAGACAAATGGATATAAGCAAACACAGAAGTCCAGAGCGTCAGCAAAACTGTGGGGACGCTGAAAATTAAATGATTCCTGCCCCTGCTTTCCAACCACGCTGTTTGCAGAGACGTTTTTTCCAGAGGGGATCCTCCTGAGCCCACAGGCTGGGGAGGAGGGCTCGCCTCTGGGATCTTCGCTTTATAAAGAGGGCCGAGAGAGTGGATTAAATCAATATTTCATTTATTTGGGCTTGTAATTCCTCTTACATCAGCTGCCACATAAAGATTTCCCCCTATTTCCTTCCCCTCCTCCTCATCCTCATTTACTATGCACCAATAATTTCCCTTTGACGCTCTCCTGCCCGTCCTAGTGCCAGATGGCCCCGGTTCTGAGCTTCTCCCCTCTCCTGGGAGAAGCTCCCATTGTCAATGCGGAGGAGGCGTCGTGGCTTTGAACCCAAAGCTGGGACCCAAACTTCAGCCCCGGCGTGAGGAGGAGCTAAAGCCACTAATGCAGGGAGCCATGCGAACCGCACACCCTCCCACTCAGCGCCATTAAGGCGAGACCCCTTCACTAAAAAAGGCTGCTTTGCATTCTCCCCAATGGTGCGTGTATAGAAATCTGGTGCAAATTTAATTCTCCCACCACCTGATTCCACTTCCCAGCCGCGAGGTTCCCTTTGTGTCCCAAACTCAATTAGACGGATCCGTTTCACGTCGCGGGCACAGATGTGAAAACAAAGTGCGCCGCGTACCTCGCTCTTTCTCTCTCTCTCTCTCTTTCTGTCTCTCTCTGTGGATGTGCCTAAAGCGATAAAGTGAGTAAATCTGTTTAGGGCGCCGGTTTCTGACTGTGCAGGAGCAGGCTGGGATATCCCTGGGAGTCACTGGGGTTTCCCTGGCTGCGGGATGGGTGACAGGGAGCCTCTCCCCCGGCTCACTCGGCAGTGGCATTTTGGGGAGGGTCTCTGTGCGTGGCTTGGGTGCGTGCCCGGCCTCGGGCTGGAGGTGCTGAGGAATTTTCCAGCCACACGAGCTGGCACGGAATGAAAGGAGCGGGTATTAATTTCTCGGTGTCCCGCTCGGAACGGGAGGGAACGTGGTTGCAAAGGCTGCCACGGGGCTGTGTCGCTGCGTGCCACACAGCGTGTGGCCCTGCCTCCCAAAAAAAAAAAAAAAAAATAGCCGAGTTTCTCCCCCTGGCTTGACTTTTCTACATTTTGTGTCCATTTGGGTTTGGAGAGGGACACAAGAGGTTTCGGCATTGAGCGGGCGAGTTAAATTATGCAGCTGCAAGACTGCCAAGCCCTTCAGAATAGGATGCTTCGTTTAGATTTTCCACAATGCTATTGAAGTGCTTATTTTCCTCCTGAAGAGACACAAACAGATGCAAACTTCTGTAAACACTTTAGAAATGAATTCAGTGAGTTTGGCCTCTCAGCAGTGCTCAATAGCTGACAGAAAAATGTCTAATTAGTGCAAGTGGAAATAATAGGGCCACTTGGATTCCTTCCATCCTCCTCCAAGTCTACTTTTCCTAGGGACTCAAAGGCCCTTTTGTTTGGTAGGTCACCCTCTCTCAGGCTTTTGTGCTCCGATCTATTAAAGGAAGAAGGGGAGGAAAAAAAAAATAGATTAGGCGATGCTCTGTGCTTAAATATATGGCCTGTTGATGAGCATTTGGAATGGCTGGTTTGCAGTGTCAGTTTACAGGTGCTTGGAGAGGGGGATTCCTCCATTGTTGGCCAGCACAAGCGGAGTTGTGCGTGCCGGCCTCCAGGAATCCTTTTCAAGTGCCATCCTCTTAGAAAAATCACACTCAGGCTCAGGGAAAAAAAAAAAAAAAGAAAAAGAAGGAAATTTGTCCAAATCCTCCTCCTCGCTGAAGTGCAAACAAACTGGGAAATGCTTGCCATGGATCTGTGCTGCAAGCTGGCCTTCGTGCCCTGTTCTGTAGGCTCTTCTCCAAAGGGTTTGACGTGGTTTTCCTCCTGCACACCTCAGAGGGTGGTACTTGATGCTTTAGTGGGGATTTGGACAGAGATGTCTTGGCAGTGTCTGGAAAAGTAATTGCCTGGATGTCAGCCTGTGGAGCACTTCCTCGCTCCGCTGGGCAGGAATACCAGTCCCAGCCCAGCACGGGAAGGGGATGGTGTTGGGTAAATATCCCCAGGTCCATGTGAACTTCTGCAGCCACAATGAAGCTGTGTGTCCTCGTGGCTGCCTTTGCTGGCCTCTGAACAGCAGGCACCTCAGGAATTCCGACTGTTCCTCATGTCACTGTGATGGCTCAGCCACTGTGGGAATCCAGGAAAGTTCATAGAGACTTAATAGTCATTAAAGATGGCCTGCAGGGAAAAACATCGTATTCCTGGCCTGTTTTCCTGTTTGTGGTGTACAAAGGAGTGTGTGGCTTGAGATCTGTCTGGGACAATGGCTGTAGTGGCCATTTCCAGTCTTCCCAGTCTCACATCCTCCTCTTAAACTAATTGCTATTGCTGGTAGTAATCTGTGGGGCACGTCTTAAATTCATTGGCAGACCACGGCATTATGTGGTTCCAGTTATTAAACAGTCAGAAAAACCCCAAAAGAAAAAAACCAGGAATGATATCTACGGCTCAAGCAAAATAAACAACTGGCACCTACTTATCCTAAAAATGAAAATATGGTGAGGAACGGGGTTAGCAGGGCTGAATCAGTGAGCTCACAGTCAGCTCACTGAGCCTCTGGGGGTGAGTTTCTCTGAGGCTCCCCGTGTTCTTCCCAGGTTTATCTGAAGGCCTCCATCGTGGTCAAGGACTGCACCACGGCCAGTGCCGTCGTGTTCCTGATTGACCGGTTCCTGTACTGGATCGACGCCTCCAGCAAACTCCTGCGGATCGCCAAGGGCCTGCACCGGCTGCATCCCACCGCTCCCATCAGCCCGCAGGTGCTCATCCGCCAGGCTCGCCTCGCCGTCAACTCAGGTACCGCTCCTCTTCCTCGAGTGGGAAGCTCCAATTAGGAGCTACTTGACTCTGGAGAAGACACTTCATCCCTCGCTGGGATCACATTGTCACGGCCCCCGGTGCCATCTTTCCGAGTGCACTTCCCGCTCCCGGCCCCCTCGAGCCCTCCCAGCTCCTCTCACTAGCACAAAGGGGCCGGTATAAAGGGTTTCAGAGCCAAAAGCAGGAGAGAAAATTGTGAAAGGGTGTGGAAAATACTAATTGGAGCTTTTGTTCCTTAACAAATCTTCCCTGCTGGTTTCAAACAGGGGTGTCTGAATTGCTGTACTCCTGACCAAGGGCCTTGAAAAAAAGGAAATTGGAACCCTGGCATTTTCTCTGCACCGTCCCAGCTGCTTTTTATTTTTCAGTGGGACCACTTGACTATGCAAACAAGGCAGCTTGCAACCCCTCCGGGATGAAAAATTAAAATTCCATCATTCCTGTAACATGGGCAACACCTGAGGGATTTTTAACACGTCTTCCTGTGGCTATGCTTTCTGTGGTGGGATGTCAGACCAAAATGGGTTTCCAAAACCCACGCTTCCTTGGGACAGAATCCTGCTGAAGGGAGCAGGCTAGACTACTTCCTTCTGGGAGGGAAATAAGAACTGGGAATCCCAGCACTCTTCCAGGAACGTATAATGTGTAAAATTAAACTTATATATACGTAATTTCATCTTACTGCATGACCACATATTGCAGATCGTAGGGCATGTGCATTTCTGACTGTTGACAGCAGCAAATCTATGTGCTGGTGATGTCTCCTGAATATTCTTCTTTCACTTCATGGCAAATGATACATTTTTATATTAATTTTCTGTCTTTTTTGTTTCTTTAATTTTCTATCAGGAAAACTTTTAAAAGCTGAGTATATCCTAAGCAGCCTGATTAATGACAATGGAGCAACAGGTATGTATGGATTCCTTTTCCAGTTTCAGAGTTCCTATTTTGGTGGGATTTTTCATCCCCATTTTAACAGTTACACAAGCTCCAAATACAGCCCACTGATGACTCTTCATGTCACACTTCTCTTTCCTTCACCACTCTTTGCTAAAATGTGGCAACACAACTTTGTTTGGAAACTTTCCTAGTTCATCCTTGTGTATCTTCACACGGGTGGGAAAATATTCTGGATGGGGAAGTTTAAAGGGTGGACCCATTTCAAGCAGTTGCCTGATCTAAAAAACTAAGACAACTCTGTCCCCTCAAAAATGCAGATTGTTAGAGTAATGCTTCTCCTTCAAATTCTCACTGATCTTACAGGCTTAATTAATACTTTATTCTAGACTTTTTATTTTCCTTTCTGCCCAGTGACTCCAATGCTGGTCCTGTGGCTTGTCTCGAATCTGGAGGGGTGTGTAGTATTTCTACTAGTGAGAATTCAATAATTTTGGCAGACATACATCATTACTGTTTAGTTCTGGTTTTAGGGGTTTATATCTGTTCTCCATTTCCTTAAGCCTTCAGGGTTTATTTAGCCAATATGTTCAGGTTTCCCTACAACTTGGAAAATTTAGGAAGCCTGTTTTGTGGTTTTTTTTTTTTCCTATGAAACCCAGATTCTCATATAAGAAGGGCCTCCATGCAAAACAAGGGAGAATCCTGGCAATTTGCTGGGATTTAGGTTACCCTTGGAGGTTTAGAGTGACAGCAACATTTTCCATTCTCTGCTGACTTTTCCCACTCTTCCTGCAGGTACCTGGCGATACGCTGAGGAAAGCGATCGGATTCTCGTTCAGGCAGTGTGCCTGCAAATCAGGGGGCAGATCCTGCAAAAGCTTGGTAAGGCTCCTTTCCATAAACATCCACTTGAGGTTTTCCCCCCCTTTTTT